CGTTTTGAGGCTGTCTCTTTAAGTCCAAACGAGGTGCTTTTCACACCTCGCTCCCCTCCAGCTTCCAGTCTGGTCCATTCTAGTTTGACAGAGGGGTTTATGACTATACAGCTGTGCAGAAACTTTTTATGTCAAATTAATTAAAATATGTAATCAGCGGAAGATTTGTGCATCCAGCCTTACGTGTTGGAGCCAGAATCTGACCCAGAGCCAGAGGGGAATGAAGATGACCAAATAGTAGTTGGTAACTTTATTTGGCAGTTCTGTCACAAGTAATTTGATGTAATAGTTCAGAAAGCATCATACAAAATAGAGAAAACGGAATGGGTTAAAATATGACCATACAGAATACAATGTAATCAACGCAGCACCAGGAGAGACTAAATTCAACATTGCTGCACTSCCAGAAACTCCAATTATTCAACAAATTGCATTCAATGACTAAAAAATGGATTTTGCATGAAATGTCCCCTTTAATTGTGGTACACATGCTTGTTTTCTTCATTTTTGGGCTCCAAATTATTGTAGCATGCCTGTCCATCTTCTGAAATTGAACAAAAATGTTATGGAGAATTTTTTAATTTGTGGAACAGTTTGAAAAAGTTTTGTTTTTTTCCCTCTACTACTTAAGGTTTTAAAGAAAAAAGATTCCTTGACTAAGTAAGACTATTCAAGATCTCAAAAACACCGCACTATGAGAATTTCTGTTTCAAAGTTTTTAGGAATCAATTTGCACTAATTTATAGTTCATATTTTAGTGAACCTTGATCAGCAACTAATTTGGTTACCATAAAAACTTCTGAGTTGAAAAAAAAGAAAAAGAAATGCTAAATTTTCTTCAGTGTATTTTCCTTATTCAAATATGTGTTATGTTCACATGGATTATGTTTTGTTGTTGAGCTCTCACTTCTGAAAAAAAAAAAACTGCTATTATGTTACAATACAACAARGTAACTTATCGATCATTCAAATGTTTTTCTCTGTTCTGTGCAAAAAATGCATTTGTCTTCAGCAGAACCTACTTGCTTGTGCAATCAGAATTATAATAAGGTATATAGTGAATTTGCAAAATCACCTGTGGAGTGGACATTTTATCAGTCACGGCCTTAACTTCAACTACACATAATGAATCACTCAAATGTGAGAGAATAAAGATGCAAAAGGACAGGAGGCGTCCGGACACCTGTCACCCTTTCCACCCAGAGGTATCTGCACCCCATACATTCAACGTACACACACTTGTCACTCATTTAAAAACATCTAGAGTTCCAATCATGTATGTCTTTTTATTTTGTCCCTCCTTCCTGCTTCCCTAGGAGAACTCAATGGAGTGTGGAGCAGCTTTGAGTCTTATACCATCTTTTGCAACGACTCTGTTCTGTGCTCTCATGGCCTTGCTCCTTAGGTGACCACAGCTGGTCCCGCCTTAACCGTCTAGAGTTGGATTGGCCCGGCATGCAAAATAATCACAGAAAATGACACCTCTGTACTACATGAAATTGTTCCCAATTTCAATTCATCACCTGCCAAGTTTTTAGCTCTGTGGTACATATTTAGAAGGACTGACATGGATAATGTTTCAGCTGCTAAGTAGTAATCAATAAGGTGCTTTCAGAATATCCATATGAGGTACAAAGAGAAGTTGCTGAGTAAATACAAAATTAAGATAACATACACTGCAGWTGAAAGCTTAAAAAGAAACTACACAAGCATCTTAGCTCTACCTACTGACACAAACACCACTAAGTCCAGTCCTTTCAGGTACAAGCTACAGGTTGTGGTCCAWAGGTGGGATTTGAACTGGATTTTAATGCCAAGAAACACCCATGTTGACAGAGAGACGTGCACCTTTCCTGGACTCACTCTGATTTCCATGGACATTTATTCTGAAGATAAAAACAGTACAAGATGATGTATACATGTGGCTGGGATTGTCATAGATATTTGTCTAATGATCTTTTTTCCATGACAGAAAAGTTATAATATATACTTTATGTATTATATAAAAAACGTCCTATGTATATTTTACAAGTGGTACCCATAAACTGTGACTATGAGATTTTGAGTCCTCTGATGTGAGTGGTTGTTAATATTTGAGCTTTGCCTTATGAAACAATGTTGGTCCCGTTTGTGTACTTTTGAAATAAAATAATCTTGAAAATGTTGTTGAAAACTATGTTAATTGAAAGCTCTTTAGGATTCTGGTGGAGATGTCCATTCAACTTTATAGTTTTTTTTAATTATTATTTTTTCAAATTKAACTGATGAAAACATCTACAATCTGGCAAACACGTGTGTGCCCTCACATGCTGTGATTTGTGCATGTGCATCTGGTGTTCAGTCAATAGTGTGAACCTCTGCTCAGAGACCGCCCCCCACCCACCCATTGAGACGTTATAAAGAGAAAGACAAGACAATTAAAGTCCAACAACATGCATCTGTATTTGATTTGTGATAGATACAAAACTAAAGACAAATGACACTATGCACATAAAAAATGATGTGTGACTCATACTGTTGCTTAAATAAATACAAAAAATAGCTAAGCTTTCTGAGACCCTGTCAGTGCCAGCCTGGGGAAGCTCTGCTGTGGTCTCCATGTCAACACYAAGGTCCCTGTTGTCAACAACAGGGCAAGCTTCGACTCCCTCTCTTTCCCCACCTCTCACTCAGCCAGTTCTGTTCCGCTGCAAGCATCATTTACTGAAATGGTAACTTACAATGTCCTAGATGTCTAATCTGTTCTCTGCATGCTGTTTTGCTGATTCCGTCTCTTCAGCACAACTTTGTCACTCTAATTATTCCCAGTTTCCTTTCTCTTTCTAAAGGATTCAACTTCCAAAGACTTGCCTGTCATTTGTCACTACATAATGGGATGTGAGCTGTTTTGGGTCAACACCCATCCAATCCTGCCAGTGATTCCTTCCTGTTTGCCAGATGAGTTATGGGAAAGCACATACAAAAGGCAGCCTTTGAGAAAGCAATCGTCTTTCTGTGGAGTTGTCACGGTGGCAACACTGTTACCACCTTTCTTGTTCTTGTGAGTGATAAATGATCATTTCTGTTTGTGTAAGTTGCTTGGTGTCAGCACTATACCGAGGATGGACAACCAAATCAGACGCGAAAATGTCAACAACTACACGCTGACTCCCTTTTTTTTAACAATTTACACAGAACACAAAATAAACAAATGCATTTGCAGTAATCAAAGCCGTTTAGTACATTAGAAAAAGCACACACAGAAGAAACAATTACACTAAACATAGAAAAGCTATTTTTTTATGTTTTGTGATCCAGATGAAAATCTATGCTTGTACATAAGACTTGTTTAGGGCATTGATGTAGTTCATCTTACATGCAGATTTTTTTTTTTGTGAGTGTGTGTGGATAAATCAGCTGTCAGCTAAAACTCTTCTGTCTGCTAAAAAAAAGTCGCATTCGAAGACAAAGGAAGAGAACAACACATCGCTGATGGTGTTTTCTAAAAAGCCATCCACATTCCTTCCCAGTGATCCAATCTGCTCTGCTGTTTGAGGCGGGAAGGAACCCCTGAGAGAGGAGTCACTGATCACTTGAACACAATGCCCTGAAGGGGCCCTGCAATTCAAAACACACCAATTCATCAGCACTCCCACTGCTACATTTTTTTTGAACTACATGAGAATTTTCTCTCTCTCRCTCGCTGTTTCTCATATGCTAGAAGGCAGGCAACAGAGAATCCCATCTATTCACACATTTGAACATCAGTTTGTGATAAACACACAGTCCATAAACAYGGCACGCACAATCACACAGGCGGTCATACAGAGGGCTAAGCGTTTGGTGGTGCCTCCAATGGAGTGGATCTCATTGGTGGTTTGCGTTGAGGACCACAAATATGTTTAAATGGAAATGATTCTGAACAGCTGAACCACACTGAGACCACCCACAGGACCAGTGACCACAACAAGGCACTGCAAAGATGAGCTTGAAAAGCGCGCACACACAAATTTTGTTGAAATTCCCCAGGAATACAAACAGAATGAGCACACGTTCTGTTGTTTGGAGAAAAAAAGTGACAGTAATCGGGAAGCATTTAATCTTTTTTTTATATAAGTGTGAACTGTTGCATAAACCAAGTATGTTCCTCTTGTCCCTGTCCACCTTCTTCAACCTTCTTTGTTTTTGTATTTTTGTTTTGTTTGTTTTTCTCAAGCTCTTGGCCATAACTTTGCTGGTTGCTGTGGTGATAATGACCAGAAATTTTGACCATCTTACACACCCATGTGTATGCCCACATGCACTTACATTGGGGACAATAACCAAATCAAACCCCACAGACAAATTTGTCCCCGGGTGTGCCAGGAGACACAGTCCTGCCAAGGATGAATGGTGCCAACTGAAAATATACACACGGAGACCGATGCTGCCATCTTTTCATTATACTGCAGTTCCTTTTAACTGTGAGGATGGGGAAGACATGAAGTCCAGACAAAAGTTCAATTCTGGAAGACTAATCAAACCTCACCTGCTCCATCCAGCCGCTGCGTCACAAGCGCAGCCACATCCAATCAGCATCTGACAGTCAGTGGATAAAAGCGTCATCTCCAATCGCTCCGCCTGCTCGCCAGCCGAATGTCAACCTTCCACCTCCCCTCCTCCATCCATCATCTTCTGGCTTCCGAGGGCTTCCCTCTCCTTCGGCCTCCACCACCAGTGATGGACACTGGAGTGGGGGAGGGGACTCCTTCCCCTCATTTTAAGCAGCTCATCTGAGCTCACAGTGTCTCACAGCGCTCACATCCTCTGCCGGGGTCCGAGCGCTAAACACTAATGTCATTCAYGTCAATAAACTTTCTAATTTCAGTCTGTCTTTGTGTGAGTCTCTCCAGGTTGAAATACATTCATGGGATTTTATGTATGCTCTTTGTGTCTCTTTTAATTACCCCTCTGGGGATGAATAAAGTTTTTTGACTGACTGACTGATTGATTGATTGATTGATTGATTGACTGACTGACTGACTGACTGATTGATTGATTGATTGATTGATTGATTGATTGATTGATTGATTGATTGATTGATTGATTGATTGATTGATTGATTGATTGATTGATTGATT